CAGCCCTGCTCCTTCTCCTCCTTATGGCTGATACCTTTTCTTTGCCTTAACTTTCCTGTTTCCTTCATATGCATCAAGGAGTTTTCCCAATAAAGAATATTCCTTTTTAAGAGGACTTCTACCTTCCTTCTAAAGCAAAGCAGGACTATTCAATAAAACTTCCCATGATTTTGGAAATGATCTCTAATCTCTGCTGTAAAGTAAGTTCTCCACTAGTCACATGTGACTACTGAGCCCTTGAAAAGTGGCTAGAGCAATTGAGGAATATTCAATTAATTTTAAATGTAAAGAGCCACATGTGGTTAATGAGTACCACGTTGAACAGCACAGTTTTGGATTATATCTGCTTCAAAGTACAGTCAGATTTTTCTTCCTGTTATACATCTGTCAGCTTTAATTTTTTAAATTAGAATGTAAAAATTTTTACTTTTTTTACATTTAGTTTAGTTGTATGGATGCACCAATACTTCTATACATGGAAGGTTTTAGAAAATTAGTAGGAACGGTGGATTATATCTAAATTAGAAGTCTCAGGATTTTGTCTAGCAACAAATGTGTACATAGGTATGCATTCTTTTCTTAACGGAGGAACTAGCTTTATCCATTCAGGGTATTAATTTTTTTAATATTGGTTTTCAAAAAGTATGAAAGGATTTAGGAATACTCTGTAAAGTTTGTATCCCATGAGCTTCACATGAACTGCTGTGCTGTTGGAGATGCTCTTGACCGTCTAAAGTGGTCCTACATTGACGAGGCTGGAACCCCCCAAAAAAGGTGCTGTCGACATCCAGAATTGCCCCACCTCGGCTTTGTTGCTCCTGCTGCAACCAGCGACTACACTTTTGGAGCCAGGGGCAGGAAGCTTCTCTTCTTCCTCCTGCCTTTTGATCTCCTACTAGTGTCCCCTGATAGCAGAACTTAACAGGAAACTGGCTGGCAAGGAGCCTAGGAAATGTAATTTTCAGAATCCAAGCACCAAGTGTAGAATGGAGTATAGGAAGGGTGGGTTTCGGGCTGAGAGATAATAGGTAACTGACCAGTATACCTTGCTGGAAGCAAATGATGATGAGATGATAAGTAAATGTGTGTGTGTGTGTGTGTGTGTGTGTGTGTGTATCACAAATGTTTTTTTATTATACACTCTGTTCTGTGCTTTTGTTTTACTTGTTTGACTTCAGTTGTTTTATATTGGTTCATTAAATTTATAATTCTCGATTTGTGGTTGTAGGGTATTTCATTCTATGAAATGTGCCATAATATATTTCACCAACCCCCTACTGATGGACATTTAGATTGTTTCCAGTCTTTTGCAATTACAAATGATGCTTCAATGAAAATTGTTTCATTTATAATTTTTCACATGTGACCCACATTTATAGAATAAATTCCTAGAAGAAGAATTGCTATCAGATAGTGATAGTTTGTAATTTATAATTTTCAGTTATAAACCATATGGCATGTCTTACTCTTGCCAATACACCTTTCATTCATGATTCAATGTTTGGCTGTGCATTTACATAGAAATGCTGAAAACACTAGATCATATGATAGAGACACTGCATAATTGCAGACAAGGCCCTCAGATGCAGAGTATGGCAGTGGGAATTGTCCTTGGGGTTTACAAGGTGGCAGAAGAGTGTGGCCTTTAGCTGGACTAATGTCGGAAGGAAGGGAGGTGGATGATTAAACAGCAAAAAGCCTAAGGACTAGGGACTACACATTGGGCCTGGAATAATGCAAGAAGGAAAAATAGAATAAAGAGAGAGAGATTGTTTGCATAGATGCCGCTGAAACACCTAAACAAGCCTGAAGCCCATGAAACTCAGTACAACAGAAAATGCCTCTTCATAAATAGCAGAAGAATTGTTTCTAAAATGACTGTTGACATTTAGAAGTATTTTCTGGCTATTCCTCAACCTCATCCATCATTAATACACGTTTGCTAAAAAAATTAAACTACATATGTGGATGTGAATATGATTTTAAAATGAAAGTCTTCCTTTAGCTTTTTCCAGCGATAATAGTTGTAAGTTTGGTGTCATTTTTAATATGCATACACCCAAATGTACACGTACATATTCACACATTTTTTTTAAAGAGGAAAGGTTTTATACTATCTGTATTTGTTCTCCAACCTTTTGTAATCTCCAGCTTGAAAAACCAATATAGCATGGCTCTTTTTCCATGTAGATATATCTTATTCATTTTAATGATTACACACTGTTCTGTAGTATTTAAGCACCAAAATTTATTTTACATTCACTATTGGTGAATGTTTTTCAGGTTGTTTCTAATTTTCATTGTTTCTAAAAATGCTGCAGTTAAATGTGCCAAAGTTTTCTATAGATCAGGTTCTGTTTTCTTGAGCATCATCTCATGCTTTCTCTAAACAAGTAATATCTAGAGTAGTAATTAGTTTGGAGGCAAAAAATACCATTCACTATGGAAACATATTCCTATGTATAACCATCTCTTCTTTGCAAATACCTAAAACGTTAGTTGTTGTTCATTGAATAACTGAGTTTTGTGTTAACTTCAGTATGATGGACCAAAGTTTTAGCTGTTTCTGCCACAGACTTGCAATTTAAGTGAGAAAGATGAACTTTACTTATGATATAGTAAAGAATGTTTGAGGATGAAAAAGATGATGTATGTGAAACATTTTGAATTTCTCTTAGGAATAGTAAGATGTAATACTGTTTAAAATACAGATGCATTACCTTCAGACTTCCTCTTGTGAAAGACCATATCAAATATAAATCTTATAGTTATTTTCCTAGAGTACCTTATCTCCTGAAATAGCTGATGATTGGTTGTGGAAGTTGTGAAGGTGCAGGAAGGAGACTGCTTAGTAGCTGATGTGGTGCAGTGGGACTCATTTAGACTGTGAGTCTAATCCAACCTCCAGCACAGTCTGGCACTGAGAGCTAGTCATGCTATTTTGACTCTTCATAAGTCATCTCACATTCTCCTTTTAATTATTTCACAGTTGTATTATGTAAAGTCAAGATGAACTGAGATGAAACATAAGGACACTACTTTAAAAAACTTACTGTTTATATGCTTAGGATGGTTCCAGGGGTTAGGAATATTAGTGTGTCTGGGGCACATCTGTGAGGTCCGTTATTATGCCCTTTCAAGAAGACTAGTGAAAAAATGGTAAGAGAAAGGATTGAGAGAAAGATGAGACACAGATTTCTGACTAAATTATAACTTTAGCAGGACATCAGAGTTTTATTTCTCATAAGATTCATTAAGTACCATTCCTTATTTTTTCATGAACCAAAAAGATAGAATATTGATCAACTGAAATTATCGGATAAAAGGTAGTATAGATTAAAAATTTTTTTTGAGTGTTACTGCTTAGGAGAATTCAAGCTAGGATCTGGCTTACATTTATATAACATGTTCTGGTTCATAGATCACATTTAGACTTTATAAATTCAAGTTCATTAATTGCTAGAGTTCACCTTTTAGCGTTTTTTTTTTTTTTTTTTGCGGTACGCGGGCCTCTCACTGTTGTGGCCTCTCCCATTGCGGAGCACAGGCTCCGGACGCGCAGGCTAAGTGGCCATGGCTCACGGGCCCAGCCGCTCCGCGGCATGTGGGATCTTCCCAGACCAGGGCACGAACCCGTGTCCCCTGCATCGGCAGGCGGACTCTCAACCACTGCGCCACCAGGGAAGCCCCCTTTTAGCTCTTTTTAAAACTGGTTATCACATATATAATTTTCTAATCTTTAGAAAGTTCGTTTGTTTTTTGAGAGCAAATTACTTGTCTATGTCAAGGTTCCCAGTGGTTTATATTTTGTGTACATATGAACTCTAAACATGTAATCAGTTTCAGTTATTTTAATTGCACTTAAGTTTTGCATCTCTTCCTTAGAGAGGTTTTGATTTTTTTTTTTTTTTACATTTAGGGCCACTTCTTGAGTTTTTATTTTTAAATGTTTTTGGTTTTTATCCTTTTGGGATAACTTCTTCCATAGTAAGTGATAGAAAGGATTCCTTGAATTTTTTGAAATCTATAATTATAGTTGTTTACTTCCTAGTAGTGTTAAGGGCCTGTGGGCACATTTTATTGATTGGAGTATTGTTAAATATTTTTAATTATTTAAAAACTACAGGATATACTTATACATAAGGATTGTTTGTTTTCAAAGCTGGATCACCTTAGCTAAAATTATAACTTACATTTACCTTTTCTCTTTATCCTCCTTCATTGTTTTGTTTTCCTCCACAGCATTTGTCACCTTCTATTTCTAATGTAAATACAATTTCCTATTTTTGTTTGTTTGCTTGTTTATGATCTATCTTCCTTACTAAATTATTATCTCCCTGAATGCAAAGATTTTTATCCTTTCTGTTGACTGTGATCCAATGCTTAAAAAAGGCACTGTATAAGCACCCACACAGCTTTCCAGTTTTTAAATTTAATTTGTAAAAGCATTTAGTCAGAACTTGTAATTTTGATAATATTGACCTTGTTTTAAATCTTTATTATAGTGAACTCCAACTCCTCTGAAATATAAATAATTGGAAAGTTTTATGTCACCATCTTTTAAAAATTCTTATGAAAGTCATATGCCTTCTTACTCCCATCCCCTCAAATAAGGAACTTATTAAAAAATTCAATCCTTAGAGTATAATTTAGAGTCTACATATTAAGCCCAGTCTCTTGCAAATTTCTGGGTTAGTGGTGATAACTGATTTTCATGTTGGTGTTAATAATGGTGATTTTCATGTGCCTTAAGATCCTGAAATATCTTCTGAAATTATGGCACAATGGGAAGCAAATTCAGGAAAATAATGGTGGCATCTTCTCTCAAACTATCCAGTCAGCAAATCACAATATAAAATGAGTATTTTTAAAACTTGAGTAAAGAATAACATGAAAATCTTATATATTATCATAATATTTTAAATGGAAAAATATTGCTTTATAATATGTGTGAGAAGTATTATTAGGAAAGTATTTAATATCTCTTTTATTCATTTTAGATAAGATGGGAAAAAAACATCACATTGGGGGAACCACCAGGATTCTTACATTCTTGGTGGTGGTAAGTATCTTTAATTCCATTTTCACTAGATTGATGATGCATTTCAGTAGGCCTGCACTGTACCTGTTTATGATTTCATGCCTCTCACTTATACTTTATCATTTTCTACAATTATTTTCTGAAAGGTAGCACTTAGAAAAATAAAAAACAAATAAACTCAAAACCAGCATTAATGTTATTTAACTTAAAGATACTTCTATTAAATCAAGCTGGAATTGTGACCAGTGTGTGGAATCTCCAGCTCTAAGTATGATATTGTATTAGTCAGCTCTGGCTACCATAATAAAATACCATAGACTGGGTGGCTTAAACAACAGAAATTTATTTTCACACAGTTCTGGAGGCTAGAAATCCAAGATCAAGCTGCTGAGCATGGTCTGTTTCTGGTGAGAACTCTCTTCCTGGCTTGTAGATGGCTGCCTTCTTACTGTGTCCCCACATGGCAGAGAGAGAGAGAGAGAGACAGAGAGACAGAGAGAGAGAGAGACAGGGAAAGAGAGAGCGAGCACATAACAGAGAATGAGAGAGAAAGACCAAGCATGTGCTAGCTAACTAACTAGCTTTCTGGTGTCTCTTTTTATAAGGGCACTAATTGCCCATGAGGGCCCCACCCATGTGACCTCATCTAAACCCGAGGCTACTGAAGGTAGTGGTGGTGATGGTGGTAAATTTTTAAGAGAGAGAATAGTCCAAAAAAGTTTGAAATAATTCTGTATAGACTCAGAGCTAGAACTGACTAGGAATGTACACAAAGATGGTCAGTCAGTATTAAAGGCCCAGCTGATATCAGAACTTATAAATTTTATTGTGGTACAAGTATGCCCAGGTATGTGACTTTTCTACAGCAGTATTTGTTAGTCTAGGTATTCAAATGGACAAGCTAGGCTTTTCTTTTTCTTTCATTTTAAAAAAATTTCTTCAGTTAGGAGCATTTCCTGTTCAGTACTTTATACATTCATCTCTCAACATCTTATTCAAAAGAAAAAACAAAAGCTCTCTTCTAGTGCCGTGCACGTGGTTTCCTTGGTCCGTTACTTCATGCCATCATCTTTTTAATCTCTCTCCTGAAAACGTGCTTTACTAGAAGTTCCATGGTGAATAGAACCACACTTGGTCAGTTGTGGTTGTGGGTTTCCCTTGTTTGTCTCACATACGTATGGCAGGAACAGGTGCAGTCCTTTGGTTCAGAGTTGTTCCTTTATTTGGAACAACGGTTCATTGCAGTTAAGCAGTGTCATTGTGCTGTTTTCCTGGGGTTTAAGACTGACCTCTTGTAACATATAGTGGTATAAAAGTCAGTTTTTCATTTTACATAGTCTGTATTTATGATATCTAGATCTAGACTAGAAACGCTTAATTATTTGCTGAATGTAGTTGAGTTTCCCACTTGTTGACACCGTTATATTTTGTATGTTTCCTATTAGGTCTGCAAAGTGGCAAAGAAACCACTTTAGAAGTCTGTCCCTATTGGATTAGTGGGTTAACAAAATGAGGATTTTAAGTTTTTCATTATAGAATTAATTCTATTTCTTGCACCTATTTCTGTTTTACTCCCTTCCTCATGAATTTAACCTATCCTCGTACTGTAAATGGTTGATAAAAACTCACTGAATACTTTGGCTTTTTGCTTCCACCAGACTTCAGTGTTTTTGGTCTTTGCTATCAGAAGGTATAGCTCTTAAATCTGCTATTGCCCTTCCTTTTTCTATGGCTGTTAGATTCAGGGGAACTCTTCCTCTGTGGTTTTGGTATTTTAAGAAATTTTTACTTAGAGATATCAAAGAAATTGTAAATAATGAGCATAAATATTTTTAGACCATATTTATTTTAATTTAAATCTAGCACATGCAAAAGGTACATTATTTTCAGTGTTTTTAATGTTCTTCCCTAAAACTATCAATACTAACGTACCTTTTGAGGTGCCTACTTTATCGATATAAATCAGTGATTCTTAATAATTTTGAAGTCATGGGGTCCTCTGAGAACTGATGAAAAGCTGTGGATCCCCTCTTCCAGGAAACTGCGCAGATCCTAAGCTTTCCTGATCATTGTGTGTAGCCAGCCATGACTGTGAGCCTTAAATCCAGCAGAGGCCTGACTTTTTTTTTCAGCTGTTTCAGTGGTCCCTTTGATTTTTTTTTAAATTAAGACTTTATTTATCTTTTAGAGTAGTTTTCAGTAGGTTCACAACAAAACTGAGGGGAAGGTAGAGATTTTCCTTATACCTCCTGCTTCCACACATATATAGCCTTCCCATTATCAACATTCCCCACCATGGTGGTACATTGTTGTAATTGATGAACCTACATTAACACAGTAAATCACTCAAAGTCCATAATTTGCATTACAGTTCATTTTTGGTGTTGTACATTCTGTGGGTTTGAACAAATGTATAATGACATGTATCCACAATTATAGTAATATACAGAGTATTTTCACTGTCCTAAAATTCTACACTCTGCCTCTTCATCCCTCCCTACCCACCCTCCACCCCTGGTACTCACTGATCCTTTTATTGTCTCCATAGTTTTGCCTTTTCCAGAATGTCATTTAGTTGAAATCATACAGTATGTGGCCTTTTCAGATTGGATTTTTTCACCAAGTTATATGCATTTAAAGTTTCTCCATGGCTTGATAGCTCTTTTCTTTTAGTGCTGAATAATATTCCATTGTCTGGATGTACCATGGTTTAATTATTCATTCACCTACTGAAGGACATCTTGGTTGCTTCCAAGCTTGGCAATTATGAAAAAAGCTGTTATAAACATCCACGTGTAGGTTTTTATGTAGTCATACATTTTTAGTTCCTTTGGGTATATATCAAAGAGTGTAATTGCTGGATCATATGCTAATAATATGTTTAGTTTTGTAAGAAGCTGCCAAACTGTCTTCTAGACAGGTTGTACCATTTTTCATTCCCACCAGCAACAAATGAGAGTTTCTGTTGCTCCACATCCTGGCTAGCATTTGTTGCTATCAGTGTTCCAGATTTTGGCAATTCTAATAGGTGTGTAGTGGTATCTCATTGTATTAATTTGCATTTCCCTGATGACATATGACATGGAGCATCTTTTCATATGCTTATTTGTCATCTGTGTATCTTTTTTAGTGAGGTATCTGTTAAGGTCTTTGGCCCATTTTTTAATTGAGTTGTTTTTTTTCTTATTGTTGAGTTTTAAGAGTTCTTTATGTATTTTGAATAACAGTCTTTTATCAGATGTGTGTTTTGCATATATTTTCTCCTAGTCTGTGGCTCGTCTTCTCATTATCTTGACATTGCCCTTTGCAGAACAGAAGTTTTAAATTTTAACAAAACCTAGTTTATCAATTATTTCTTTTATGTATTGTGCCTTTAATGTTATACCTAAAAAATCATTGCCATACTCAAGGTTATCTTGGTTTTCTTGTAAGTTAACTTCTAGGAGTTTTATTGTTTTATACCTTACATCTAGGTCTGTGATCCATTTCGAGTTAATTTTTGTGAAGAATTTCTAGTGTCTACATTCTTTTTTTTTTTTTTTTTTTGCATGGGGTGTTGTCTAGTTGTTGCAGTATCATTTGTTGAAATGACTATCTTTGCTCCATTGTATTGCCTTTGTTCCTTTGTCAGAGATCAGTTGACTATATTTATATGGGACTATTTGTGGGCTCTCTTTTCTGTCCCATTGATGTATTATCTTTTTTTTTTTTTTTTTTTTTTTTTTTGCGGTACATGGGCCTCTCACTGTTGTGGCCTCTCCCGCTATGGAGCACAGGCTCCGGACCCGCAGGCTCAGCGGCCATGGCTCACAGGCCCAGCCACTCCGCGGCATGTGGGATCTTCCCGAACTGGGGCACGAACCTGTGTCTCCTGCATCGGCAGGCAGACTCTCAACCACTGCACCACCAGGGAAGCCCTCACTTCTGTCTTTTATAGAATATTTGCAAGTGGAGTTTTCCTGTTGTTTAAGCCTTTTCACCAAATATTTACTATGCAAAATTATGTTGCCTTCAAGGAACTAATTAGTAGGAGAGATAAACAATTAATAGTATTATAACTGAGGTATGTACTGGTTATAATAGCAATACAGGAGGAATACTTACATCAGCTTGGGAGAGGTAGGAAAGGCTACACAGGGAAAGTGAATCTGAGCTGATTTGTAAGTTGAGTGAGAAAAGGGTATTTAGGGCAAGGAATGGTTAGCATGAAATCTTAAAAGTGATCCTCATGCATTCAAAGAAAGGCAGGTATCTTGGATCAGTTGAATTGTAGATGCAGTACTATGAAGTGATAGAATATAAGGCTAGAAACAAAGGCAGGGGTCAGACTATGAAGTCCTGGAGTGCATCAAGGACTTTGGACTAGAACTCAAAAATTTTAAACAAGGTATATGACATGATTAGCTTTGTGCTTTTAGATACTTGGCATTACCATAGACATGGATTGAAGAGGATTGAGAGCAGAGGCAGAGTCTAGTTTACAGGGCAGTTGTTATTGTCCAGTTGAAAGGTTATTAGGTGATGGACCCCAGAGAGTGAACACTGAGTGGAATAGATTGGAGGTGAATGAAGAAGTTGCCAAGTTTTAGATTTGGATGGTGGGATGAACACTGATGCCATTGATTGAGTGAGGGAGTATAGAGCGAGCAACAGGCTTTGGAAAAAAGACCATGATTTAGCTCTGACAGATTAAATTTTGAGATGCCTATGTCACATTCAGAGAGAGATGCCCTATACAGTCAGAGCTCTGGATCTGTAGGTCTGAGACAGGCCCATAATGGTTTGGGAATTATCAGCATAGACTATACTGTAGTGAAGAGTGTTCATGGGTGAAACTGCCAGTGTAACAAGTAAGAGCAGGGCCTGGGGTTGGGACTCTGGGGAAAGTCAACCTTTAAGTGTAGGTGGATAAAGAGGAGCCTCAAAAGAAAATACTTAGAGAGGAAGGAGGGTAATCAGGAAAGAATAATGTATGGGAACCAGAAAAGGCATTCAAAGGAGAGATTAAATCTGCAGCAGGT